GTTTTTTCATGAGAGTATAACATTATAACATGATATAAAACTCAAAAAAGTTGATTTTGCATGATATTGCCCCTTTAATAAAATAAGTTACCGAGGCTGTACCTCAAGCTGCACCTACAGCGAGCTGCACTTGAAACTAAGCTTAGAATTCTATGTAATAACTAATGTAATGTCGGCCTGTCATTCTTGTAATATGTAGAATATAGTGTCTAACTTGAACTGCTATGACATTTTAGACACTACATGTATTTTAGGATGACAGCAATTTATTTTGGTCTTGACCTAACTCAGACTAACTGTGATTTTGTGGATCCTGCAAAGAAATATAGACTCTTCAAGCTTTAGCAAACTGAGGTTCTTCAAAGAGTTATCTGAGTGACAGGTAAGATATTCATACACTTTCAACAACAACAACAGAAAAACACTTTAACAGGTTATTGCTTTAACAGACAATGATTTGATTTCATTAAAGTATTTTACAAAAATAATTCAATAGATGCCTAATTTGCTTATTTCTAAAATGTTTTCCAATGATAGCTAATTACTTTGAATGATTATGTTATTGTCTCAAAAGTGTTCCAGTTCGGTCCTTGCTCATAAATAAAATTTAGTGAGAAGGACTCTGAAGAATTACAGTAGACTCATTTGGATTTAGAACCAATTTCCACGATTGCTTTTCTGAACTGAATATTGTAAAAAAAACATTTACAACCTTGTTTGGAGGGTGTTTATAAGACATGGAATATATACTCGTCAAAGTCAATCAGGTATTGTGAACTGAACAGCTGATTCTCTTGTCTCGGCTTGGGATTCACAGCGTGTACAGCGGATTATTAAGGTGGAACGCTCTGTCAGGACTGCCTGCAACAACATGGACTAAACAAACATTAAATGGAATTAAAGACCAAACTTAGATATGTTTCTTTTAACCAACAGCATGAACGGTACGTTAACTTACAAAGACAAACTAATATTATATACAGTATGTGAGGCAGAACAGTGTTTTGTGTTTTCAAGCTGAAGGCAAAGGCATGAATATTTCTGTCTTCTCTTGATCTGGAGGTCTCAAAGGACTATCAGCACTGTTTCCAATTGTATATTCTTACTCAGAGCAGGTTTCTGCTGRTAAACTAAAATCTTTGGACTATTTTCAGTGCTTCCCTTCATGCACTGCAATAAAGTTTTATCAAACTAGAGAAAATATGTTAAAGTGTTGTCTTTCTCTTGCCATGCTTTTGCAAACAGTCAGGGATAGACTTTATAATCTCACTCTTCTACCAAGTATATGGAGCACATTTTGTTGCAGCTACAAAGYGAGTCATGACTCAGCAGGTGAGATAGCTCAGCACGATGCATCACAAGTTGGCGAGATTAGCTGTACTTAACAGTTTGGAAAGAAAAAAATTGGCTTCATGCCGATGAATAAATCCTTGTGGTCCATTCCAGAAAAGAAATGGTTTATAAAAGTTCTGCGTTTAGACAGTGACATAACAAAAATTAATTTTGAAAAACAAAAACGAAGCACCTTAATAAAAATTGAATATACATTTAAAACTAAGACAATTTGAAACCATTTTACATTAGGTTTTTTTTTTTTTTTTTTTGAAAAATGAAATACAGCTGTTATTAATTTTTTTTTTTTTTTTTTTTTTTTTTTGAAAAAAAAAAATTTTAAAAAATTTTTAAAAATACAGAGCCACATCATCTGCATATGGAGGAACACTTATATGTACTGTACAATATAAAGGTATTATTTTATTGTAAACAGGACGTGTACAAAGACAAATATTTSCAAATGGAAGAAAATGTATAGCAATTAAATGCCTCTGAAATCCCAAGACATCATTTTCAAAACTTAAAAAAAGTTGCTGTAAAAGAAGAAATAAGTCAAGTGTATCAGAAACTTGTGAAATTGATCAAACGTTTATCATTGAAGAATCCATAAAATTCAATTACCAAMAAAAAGACAGGTCTGAAATTCTGCCATTAAAAGTAAAGTCAAACAAAAATTGCAAAATTCTAAAAAAAATGCTGAAGTTGATAAATTTTTTGACCCCTGTTTTGCTGTTAAACACAATGATTCATCACAGGGCCATATGGAGATTATATATATTATTCCACTCACACCTGAGGACATCCACTCACACCTGAGGACAATTGCCAATTAAACCCTCATTTATGTTTGTGGTTTGTGGGAGTGAGCTAAAGTACTTTGGAGGGGAAAATAACCTGCACATTCAAAGAGAAAATTCCAACAGAAAGGCCCAGCTGGGTTTCAACCTACAAACTTTACACACTAAAACATGGTAAGTAAAAACCCTTTTACCATTAAAGCTTCCATTAGTGTTAAAACTAAGCTGAACTTCAAAGCTGTTTGGCTGTCTCTTGTCAGTTTAATTACTATTTTATCTAAATGGATCTTCTAACAGACTTAGAAAATGTCAGTTACCCCCGTATTTAATTAATCTTAACATAAATAAGGAGGAAAATTAAAATTAATTAGCTCAGGCAAATTATACAGATGATTAAAGTTAATTTGTTTTTACACAGATACTAGCTGTAATGCTGTTTACTGTAAGCATCAGTTAGTTATGAAATGTGTTTGTTGTTGTCGGTATGACACTGATTGAAGATGACTTTTGGACTTCTTGTTTTGAATTTGGATTATCAAATGATTATGCGTAAAGACCAAACGCAACACCCATAATATATGATTACCGCATGTGAAATGAAATCTGCTTATTAATAGAATTATTTAGTAAAGCAAATAAGTGACTAATCCAGTTAAATCTGAGAAGCTTTTTGAATATCTTATATCTAATATGGTGTTGAGTGGTGCTTTAAAAATAAATCAAGGCTCATAAACACCATGAAACATATTGTTAATAACCTCAAAGTGACATCACCTTGTGAGTTYCATTGTGTTTTTAACAGAATGAACTTTTAACACTTAATTTTTGCTTTGCAATTTTTACATGTTTATTTTATTTATTCACTATAAAAAATGAGATGTTAAACCAACTGTAAATCTTAAATTTATGACTCRGTGCAACAAAATGAACTAATATGAAAGGTAAAAAAATAATAATACTTTGTAGTTTTACATGTTGTTTACCATTCTCCACCCCTGAGGGCATTGGTAAACAAGAAGGCAGAACAAGGAACCTAACAAAACAGGACCAACACAAATGCAAGCCAAAAATACCCAAAAGAACAGAACCAACACAATACAAAAAAATAAATAAATAAAAATACAGGCCATGTTTATTTAACAGATTTTAATTCATGCAAAACATATTTGGCTATGGAAGTATAATAACATAAAATGTCATTGTGCCTATAAGTACTTCCAATTAGTGCGATGAATTAGAAATATGTGATTTAAAAATATTTTTAAGAGCTCAGATTCCATTTATGTACATCCTTCCACTAATCTGGTAACATCTTTATGTCATTTTGTCTAAGCGAGCAATACAATGCTTTTCTGTAAAATGGTTTAAAAGTTATATAAAAATTAATTCAGATACTTCAGCAATATTATCAGTTTAAAGATAAAACTATTGCATTTTCATATAAGACCTCGAGGTTTTTGTTTCAACTCTACTTCAATGATTATTTTTATAAGCATTGTGTGAAACATAATGTCCATGTGTATTATTTAGTGTTCAAGAAAAAACGTAAAGTTTGTTGGATCAATTCCAGTAGTGTACTATGTTTTGCTGAGCTTCCTCCTTCTCAAAGATAATAATCAACACCAGACCAGGAGGTTGTGACTACTTCTCATTTTGTAATGTCCTCATATGACTCAGGCAGCATCTTGGTTTGCATCCCAGGAGTCATCAGCGGTGAAGAAAAATACTGTAAAAGAGTAAAACATATTTGCCTAGGAATTTTTGTAAAAACAGCAATGAGTGAGCCACTGAAACCCTGGGAGGGAATTAACTCTTATAATGTATTCTCAAGTTTGAACTGAGTGTCGTCTTAGTATAATCCCTAAAATCAAATTGAGCTAATTTAAATGGACACAATTATGGGAAACATGAAACTTTTAAGCTCTTAATCATTCCTAATAAATTCACTCCAGTACAATGGTGTATTCATATGCAGTTTGCATTTCTTTATCTTGTACAATAAAGCACCGTGTCGTGCCATCTCTCACCCAAAAGGCCTTTCTTTTTCATTTTCTTATTTTTTTCTCTCCTTTAGACCTTGAGCCAGAACTTTATTAGAGTTTAATTTGCGACCTCTTCTTGGAGCTTGTGACAAGCCAAGGATGCTACTGCTGTCTCATGGGGTCTATGAGGGCATGGAAGTCTCCACATAGTGAACAATGTAGGTCAAAATGAGAGGTGGGTGGGGTTGGGTGGTTACACTGATAATGGTGAAATCTCTAGGGAGCGATGTGGGTTCTACCTGATCAGCCACTGCAGCCCATGAGGCTGGAACTGAAACTGACACCCATACAGGAGGTCTCGTAAGATGGAAAAAAAAATGTCATGAAACTTTAGAGTGGACAAGATACAATGGACTTACGTACACTACCGATWTTGTACTGACCCTCCACTGCAGAACACTGACTTACTGCTCAGGAGAGACAAAATGTTTCCTATTGCTGCAGTGGAAACCTGAATTGTCCTTTACAGGATCATTGCAGGGGGCTGGAGCCTGTTGTAGCAATCAATGGGCAAAAAGTAGGGTCCACCCTGGACAGGTATGCCATCAGAGGGCCAACACACAAAACAGACAGCTTTAAATCCACTTTTAACTTATTATGATTATTGATTTTTTTTTTTTTACAAATGCCAGGAAGTTCTTTGATGTTGTGTTTTTTAACAGACGTTTAGGCTCCAAAAAAATCCTAAAATCCATTCATAGATTCATTCTCTTAATCCACTTCTTCCTTTCAGGGTCACTGGTCCTCATATCCAACAGTCGCAGTGCAAGGGGCAGGTAAAAACTGGACATGAATAAATGTTTTGGCTCTCCTCCAAGACAAAGAAAACCCCGTCCAGAAGACCTATGCGTTTTTGAAATTTTTCTGGATTATTGAGACACATCAGGACATCTATCCAGAGAGGTCCCCACAAGGATTCAATCTGGCAACCTTGATGAGAGGAAACAACTGAGCCCCTGTGCCATCAAATCCAAAAATCATTTCTTTTTAATTTGCACTATGATTAGATTTGTGGACTTGCCACAAACAAGACTCAGTGGTATTGCCTTCTCTACCTGCAAGCATCTTACAAACTTTCATAAGCTTTTGTTTGTCTGAGTTTTTTTATTTTATAATCCATAAATACACAAAAGATTCTGCTTAGGTAACACTACAAATGAATGCCTTCACACTTTCAAAAGACAAACAAAAATTCAGCGTAATAATCCAATGCACATCTTACACTGTAATAAGTACTTTTTTTTCTTTTTTTACAAATTAAGTTCTTATTTTAAATTATTTATTTGTTTTAATTTAAAAATGCAGATGGGAGAGACCTGTCTAAAGTCAGATTTGTGTCAAGTCCAGCTCCTGGTTGTAGTTTTGTTACTARGTTTTCCTTTTAAACTGCCAAAAATCAAACAAAAAAGTTACTTTCATTTACAAAAAATAATCTGTTCTTGAACCTTTAACTTAGCTCCTCTTTACACAATTGACACAAACAAAATGTTTGACACGGTGGACTTCCTTGCACTGGAGAAACTCTGTCAAATATGCAGTATAATTTAGTGGATCTTATTTAAAGTGCTGCTTTAACCCAGATGTCCAGATATTCCCAGGCAATAGGCGAATGTAAATATTTGATATCTCCTCAATCAATGAGTGTTCACTTGATATGAAACTAAGCATTGCCAAAGAATATCAAAGGCCTTTCTGTGTTCAGTCATAAATATTTCATTTTCGTTAGCCATTTGGATTGAATATTTAATTAAATCTCCCTTTCCCTGYGGAAAAATGCATAAAGAACAGCATTTAATTTGATACTTAAAGGCAATGAGCTGATAACCTAGGCRCACACCCGCAGCAATTGAATCAACATTTATCCTTGTGGGGTTTTTTTCACATTGGCAGTYTAGTGAAGTGTACTTGCTTAAAAGAAAAAAAAAAGGTAGTGCGGCTGTAGACGCCTTGATAAAACATTCATGCGACAGCAGCCATGAATAAAACATACAGGAATGATCCATGGGTCAAGCCACCTGTAAATGTGGGCAGAGCTGTGTGTCATGAGATGTAAATATYGTTAAGCCTGAGACTTTCAATGTAACAGAGATGCTTGAGCTCCTCGGAGGTGAAACAGTTTTCAGACAGAAATAATCTGCACAGTTTACGAAACCATTCAGCTTTGAGTAAACGCCAGGCTTCRAATGATAAAGTCATTACCTGTCGTAATTTTACCTGTCACTGTCAAACTGATGGAGCCCTAAAGGACCGAGCAGACAGACAGAAAGAAGATCATGAYGGAATTAAAACTGTATTAAAATGCAAAAATTATAAGCTCTTTTTAAATTGTCTTYAAATTTGTAATAACTTTGAAACAGAGCAAACACTGCATGGTTCCAATAAATCAATTATGGATTGCCTTGAAGCAAATAAGTCAAAGATTTTACAAAAAAAAAAAAAACTTCACTTTTGCTCATTTCAAAGTTTATTTGAGTTATAAAGATTGAAAAAAAAATCATTACTCCAGCAGGAATTCAGCAGCTAGAGTTCTGATGGAAGGTTTCATCMGTCCGTTTTAAATTCCAAAGGCTCACTCTAACACTGGGCTACCAAACATTTCCCAAGCTTCAACAGTTCAGCAACATAAATCTTGCATGTGTAAACACATAGGATGTTGTATATAATATTTATGATGGTAATACTAAATGTGTATTTCAGTGAAAGTATGTCTGTCTAAAAGATGCTTAAAGTACTGGCTGCAAGGAAGAATTAAATCACACTAAAACAGGTTTAATCTGTTTATAAAGTAAAAGGTCACATTCAGATCACATCACACTAAATTGARGCCAAAAATAACACGTGCTGTGTGCATCTTTTTTCTGAGACTGTGGGTTTGTTTTCTCTTCAAGTTCAGTGTATATGTGGTCATTTGAAAGAACTGCATGAGAGTTTTCTAAACTGTTTTTTTTTTATTTATTTATAGGTTTTGCTACCACACCAGTACTTTTTGTTTTGTTAAATAAATCTTAAGCTTTTTTTTTCTTGAGCTCCACATGTCTGTTTGTATTTCTGGGTCCCACAACTACACACATGGACACAATTGTTGGTACTCTTTGTTTYGTGAACGGAAAAACCCACAGAAATAATCAGGAGTGAACTGGGAGGAGAAAGTGGCCTGGGAGTTCCCGACACACTGGCCCACTTTCAACGGCTGAGCTGAAGTTACTCATACCTGAGAATAATTTTGCTCAAAACTAATAACATTTACAAAGCAAGCATTTGTTTGAGATATACAGTGTGTACTAGTGAAGCTAAGGTGCATGTTTTTGGTCTGTGGGAGGAAACTGATGTACTGGGATAAAACCCCTTCATGCAAAGGGAGAACATGTAAACAGCATCCAGAAAGGTCCCAGGCTGGGATTTAATCCAGCAACTGAGAAACAACACCTCTACCAACAGAGCTACTGAGCTTCCAAATGTTTTATTTATGATGCTGATGAAAATTCTCAGTCCTAAAGATCATGATTAATCAAAAATAATRTTTTTTTAATCAGAAACCTTTTATGAAGGTCTATAAAGCTTATAACTCCCCACTACTCAAAACATTTTGAACTGACAAAGCCTCCCTAAAGGGAAGAGAAACTTAGGTTCAAAATAGAAGTCCAGTTGTATATTAGTTAATTTATAAACTGTATATTTTAGCTTAAAAAATTGATATATTTAATGTTTCTAATCTCATGAGAAGCTTCATCTTGATACTGAAGATATTTATTTTATACTGGTTGTCTTTCAGAGGAACTATTTTAAGTTTATTTTATTATTTTAAGTAAAATACATATTTATATTTTTAACTCTTAGTTTTTCAAAAGCATTTTCATATTTAGAAGATCCAACTAATCCTAAAAAGCTGAGAAATGTTTAAATAAACACAAAGCAGAAGCTTGGGAGTCGAGGATAACTCCCGACATGTCTCAGCTCCTTCCAAAGATGCTCAATAGGATTTAAGTCAGGGCTCATAGAAGTCCACTTTAGAATGATCCAATGATTTCCTCCAATCCTGGGTGTTTTTTACGGAGCCCGCGAGGGGACATGGGGGGATTTTTTTCTTTTATGTTCCCACACAATACCTTTTGCGATCCCTCGCAATACTTTTGCGTTACCTCGCCATATTGTTTAGTGTTCCCACACAAAAGTTTGATTTGTAAAAGAACTGAATTAAATCAGACTTTTATTTTGAAATATCTGGTTACCAAAACAGGATGTGTCGCCACAAGTTCGTGAAATTGACATTGATGTTGCGTGGCTGCACTGTGTTAAAAYATCGGCATATGGCATACTTCCATGCGTGGCTGTGKGATATATTCATTCTGAAGCTGAATTAAAGCAGTAGGCTAACTCGCTGATGGTGAACATGTGAGTTTGTTAATAAACCGGCAGGCACAACAGTGATAAATGACTTTTGCGAGGGAACGCAAAAGGTATTGTGAGGTAACGCAATATTTTTGAGTGGGAATGCAAAAAGAAAAAAAAATCCCCCATGTCCCCTCGTGGGCTCAGTAGTTTTTAGCTGTGTTTGGGGTCATTATMCTGTTGCAAGACCCATGACCTGTGAATGGGACCAAGCTTTCTGACACTGGGCAGCACATTTCTCTCTAGAATCCCTTGATAGTCTTGAGATTTCATTGTACCCTGCACAGATTCAAGACACCCTGTGCCAGATGCTGCAAAGAACATTATGGAGCCTCCTCCATGTTTCACAGTAGGAGCAGTGTTTATTTCTTGATATGCTTCATTTTTCCCTCTGAACATAGAGCTGATGTGCCTTACCACAAAGTTCTATTTTTGTTTCTTCTGTCCATAGGACATTTTTCCTGAAGATTTTTGCTTTGTCAGCATGTAGTTTGGCAAATTCCAGTCTAGCTTTTTTATGATTTGTTTTCAACAATTCTGTTCTCCTTGGTGGTCTCTCATTAAGTCCACTTTGGTTCAACCAACCTCTTTTGTTACCATTCATATTATCCATCTCTTTAATTTGTCATCAATTTTCCTCCTGYGGTCAGCTACAGTCCCATGGATCATAAAGTTCTGAATAACATGTGCACCTGTAGAAATATGAAACCGCTTGGAGATGGTCTTATAACTTTACCTTTAACATGCTTTTCTATAATTTTCTTTCTAATCTGCTGAGACAACTCTTTCCTTCAAAAAAAAATTAAGTAAATAGAAAAACAACTGAACAGAAAATGACTTTGGTAAAAATAAAGTTCACTGATGAGAAAAGTACTTAAGTAAAAGATAAAACTGGTTGCAAAAATAGGGAAAGTAAAAGTACTTTTACACATGCTCTAAGAAATAAAGTGTTGAATTTACTTAACCAAACTGGTATAAACCACTCCTTTCATAATTTTGGACATATTTAATTTATAACAAGTAACTAGGTGTTACATTTTAAAATAAATGAGTAAAAGTAATATTTTTAGGTTTTAAAAGTAACAAAATACAAATAAAAGTAATGATTAAAAAATACTTGATGAAATTACAAATCCTCAAAAAATACTTAAGTACTGCAACAAAGTAAATGTACTTGGTTACTATAAACCTCTGCAAACCATAATACTAACAGTTATGGTGAACATACCAGTGACTTGTTTACACTGTTTTATTTTTTGAATATATCAGAAATAGAAACAGCACAAACACACACACATGTAACAGATTTCAGCAGTCTGGCCTTGTAACACCATCTGAAATGTATTTTTTTTAATTTTCATATAGTGTAAATGTAATTCAGTAGAAACCTGCCTTTACATTTTTGACACTGTTCTAAATTCAAACTTGTACTGCTTTGCCTGCTTCACATTCACTGAGAAAAAGACAAGGGCAAAATGACTAAATATCCACTCTCCCCAGCATGTTGGTGGCACATCATGAATGAAAGGACACAACGATAAACAACATCAAGGTAAGTTGTGAATATGTTGTGGCAGGTGCATAATTTATATCACCCTCTTGTTGAATTAAAAAAAAACTGTAAACTGAAGGCAAGAGAAAATGTGGCCACCTGGAGTAAATTACTCCTATGTACTAATGTCAACAGATTGCTACTAAAACAATTATTTTATTTGGTAACAATCTGTTGACATTAGTACATAGGAGTAATGTCAACAGATTGTTACCAAAAAAAATATTTTATTTTATTTTTTCTGTAGCATTTTTTTCTTTTAATCTAATGATTGAAGTCCTGTCATGATCAGCTAGAATGTCCATCATTGTAATCTTGCTGAATGGCTGTGGATAAAAGCACCAGCATGGGGCCCTGCTGTACACTAATCCTCTGATGATATCCACAAGTTTCTCATGGCATCGTTCCAAAGCTTTTCGCCTCTTTGCTCATGAACTGTGACTAATGCTCAGTGTTCATGTGAAAAGGAAAACAGAGTGATCAATATGGCTCAAGGCACAAAACTAAGGCAGCCTCCCATCTTCCTCACTTTTTTCTATTCCTGCTTTCACTCCTCCTCCATTTAATCCCTTTAAAAGTCAAATGAGTGCATGAATATGATCATTTTCACACACTAGCACAGTTTCGGATCTGTGCGTCAGTGTGTGTTTACTTGGATCTTGCTTTGGAGTTGTGACGCCACTGGGGACTGCGGAGGCTTTGGAGCTGACCTATATATAGTTATGTAAACTAAAAGTATGTGCATTCTTGATGAGTCATGTTGTGTGCAGAGTTGGATCCTGATACATCATCAAGATATTTATTGGATTTAGAATAAATTCTCATRTTCTAAGCATAGAGTATACCTATATTGAAGAGGCTGTTTTTTCCATGACAGAACAAGTTCAAGCTACTTTAAAGCTCTTTTTAAAAGTAATAGTCCCTATTTTTGTATTTTTTATTATGTTTATTTATGGTCACTTTTGTTTAGATTGTCAAAAGTCAAAAATTAAACTATAAGGTCATTTAAGCGTTTACAATATGTAAGTGATGCATTGTTCATAGGTCTTCCTTGAGAATATATGGTGCAGCAGTATGGCAGCTTTCTTGAAACTAACGTCACAGGTTTGGTTCCCAATTATGTCCATAAGTTGTAGTGTCCTTGAGCAAGACACCCAACCTCTAACTGTTCAGCTGCCCACTGCTGTAMTTAAGTGTATCTCATATGTATGATGGATCAAAAGCAGAGAACACATTTTGTCAATATTGTATTATCAACAAAGCTCTATCTTTCTTAGAACTCTATGCACACACACAAAAAAATCTTGAGGTTATTATGCAAAATTTACTTTTTTAAGCTTAATATCATTCAATTTTGACTCATTCATGCATATTTGAGAAATCCTTGAATCTCCTGTGGTAACCATGTGGAGCTGCCTAAACGCTTGCTGGTACAAAGCACCGCTTATTTACACAAAGCTCCTCCCTGGAGCTCAGTCTGCAGCTGAGCTCCTGCTACACACAGCACCCCTCCCCTGCAAGCATTGTTGTG